AATGGTCCCGAGCGGTTCCGGACTATTTCTAAACTGGGTGTTGTAGATTATGTGATTATGAATAAGTTATAATAAGTTAATAGGATATGATATGGATATGACACGAATAGTATCATAATTTTATAAATTATAAATTATAATTAAATTATAATTAATGATATAATATGATATAGGCTCAGGCTAGGCATTAATCTACGGTCTACGGTCTATGGTCTGTGTCTGTGGGTCTATGGTCCTATGATCTTATGACCTATGGCGCCTATGGCCTATGGTCTGTGGTCCATGGTCCATGGTCGTCTATAGTCTATTGTGGTCCTATGGTCTATGGTCTCTGGCCCTAGCAGTCTCTGGAGTCTCTGGTAACCTGGGCTCAGGCTGGAGTCTAGTCTAGGCTAGGGTCTCGGGTGCAAGTGAGGTGCACGCAAGACAGCATACTGGATATCCAAGCTATCTTTCTCTCTCTGGTTGAACAGAGCCAACTCTTCAGCAGAAAGCAACCCACAATACCCACCCCCGGCGTCTGCGTTCAAGCTCTCCCGCAGGGCTTGGTTCTTGGCGTCCCCAGCGGCGGATGTTCGCCCGTCCTGCTTTGGGGGGGCTTCAACGGCAGCGACCCACGAATCCCATGAACCCTGGCAGCCCCAGCGGCGCAAGCCAAAATATGATGGGAACTATATATAAACCCCTTGGAATCCACTGGGAACTATATATAAACCCCTTGGAATCCACTGGGAACTATATATAAACCCCTCGGCCCCCTCGGAATCTAAATCCCTTGGGATCCCTGGCCCGGATTCCCATGTCCTTGGCCACGGCTGGCCTTGTCGGCTCCATACCCAACGCATCCATAACAAACTTGTTGTAGGCTTGGATCTCTTGGATGGTGTTCCGGGATGGCAGCTGGTTGGGCAGCACATAACAAATAATGTGCTTTAGTGACTGCATGGAAGCCACATCAGCCAGAGTCTTGTGCACAAGTAAAAAGTAAATCCTCTTGCGGCTCTGTGGCAAGCCGAATCTGGACGCCCTGTCGAGTTGCAGGGCATGGGCCAACATATGGTATACGGTATACTGTATATAGCGTAATTATTGGACAATCATATTGAATCATACATTACATACATACATACATACTGTTACAGACACCGCAAAAACACACTCGCAAACACATTCTCTCTCTCTCTCTCTCTCTCTCTCTCTGTCTCTCTCTCGCTTTCTCTCGCACTCCCGAACGTGCATGAATTGCTGACTTATTTAGTTGCAAAGCTGAGCTACTCGAGTGTCACTGTCTCGACATGGTACTCCTCCAACAAAGCCAAGCCGATCTCTTCTCCATCGTCCAGCTTGCCGTAGAGCATGAAGTCCAGGGGTGTCTGCGGGCGGGCGTCAATGGAACAGGTAAGGAGAATCCGGGGCAGTGGTTTTTTCACTTATCAATAGATACACGCACCTGGTGTCACCTGCCGTGTTACCTGCATTTTCACTCTGAGGTCAGACTGCTGAATACTGAATACTGAAGTCTGAAAACCGCCCGAACCGTACTCCTATGCCGTCAACCAATGACCAACCAAGCTGGACATGATTCAGAATCTGATTCAGGGTCATGGCCTACAGGCCAGGTACACAATATAACATGTCACAATGTCACATGTTACATGTTACAAGGCATAACTTAACATACTTAGAGTCATAGGCAACAAACTGGCAGCTGAGAGAGCTTGCTGTACTTTTGGCCCGGCATGCAATGGTCGCTGGCATCGTCTTCTTAGAGAAGACCCAACGGTGAATTGGCGATGTAACAGAACACTCATGCTGCATGCTGCTTCTTCTCGTCCTGCTGTGCTTCAGCACGATGCATTCGAAAGCGCTCATCGCATTCCACAACCCGCTCAAGGCGAGCCCCCAACTTCTTCGCAGAGTTCCACTCCTGCGATTTTTGTACTAGCACGGGTTTAGCAAACTTAAGAAAGAAACAGTAGCAGTAGCTCAGCTAAGCTAGAAAAAATACACAGACAATGGCTGCTTCATGAAGTCACGGCTCTGATGAGTTAAGATCATCAATCCTTCGGATCAGTTTTGGCACATTGTAACGTCCTGCTTCAACCAGGGCAATTGCCATCTTTGATGAAAAATAAGTCCGCGGGGAAGACATGGATGGATCTGGAAGCAACTTCCGAGCGCTTTCTGAGATGATCTGCTGATCTGCTCTTTAAGACAAAAATGGCTACAGCCTGCATTCATTCTGCATAGCACTCCTGCCGGCAGAACTCATCAGTATGCAGATGCAGCATTCACTGCCACGTGTGCAGCACAAGCTCTGCAATCTACTGGAATGACTCGGAATGATTGGCATTGCTTGGTTTTGAAGGAATTTTGGGGTCTTGGCGGTCCTGGTGCTTAGGTCGGGGTGTCGTTGCGCACAAGAGCACAAACTCTGGGACCTCGGTGGGGAATCCAAAGTCACTCCCATGGCCCCCATGGCCCATAGTAACATATGTAACTTGTAACTTGTAGCATAAAACATAACATAAATTATAGTTGTTGTTGTTATGTTATAGTTATAGCCAGGGCCATAGCTATAGGCTATAGCTATAGTCTTAGTCTTAGCTATTATATTTACCATCATGCAGAGCCCCATAGAGTCTCACACACCATGGACGACCACACTGACCATGCTACCAATACTACTACTTACTACCGACCACTGCCCATACTGGCCAGCACTGCTCACACTGTCCACACTGCCTGAACCCAAGCCCAAACCGTCCATCTATGATGCACCGTTAAATTAAGGCTTGGGCTTGGGGCTTAGGGTCTACACTCTAGACTACAGTCTATAGGGTCCACATAGGGTCTTCGGTCTTTGTCTTAGTCCTGGTCTTCTTACTAGGGTCTGAGGTTCTGAAGGGTGCCAAAAAGTCAGTTGATCACAACACTAGGACTTAAGACCGCAGCTATGGCTATGACTATGACTCTGACTATGACTCGACTATGACCCTGACCCTAACTCTAACCCTAAGTCTGAACTAGTCCCTCGTGACCTACTTTACTCCTGCATCTAGAGCCGAGTTAACATAAAGATACGGGCATGATAAGGGCAAAGGCATTGGCGGCAAAGGGCCAAGGGGATAAAGAAATCCCTGATGGCCTCTGGGACGCGCCGAACTCTCATTTTCCATGCAGCCAACAGTCATCACTGGCTTGTGTGCTTCTGACAACCTGAACAGGTGCCTCTGCTGCTCGCGGAGAGCAACAAGCAACGCAGAACCGCAGAATCATGCAACCGCAACTTTGAAACAGTCATACTTTGTCTTAACTGAAATAAATATGTCAATGAAATCAATCGAATTTTAAACTGCGGGACTGCGAAGCATTGAGCCGGAGACTTTGCAGACTTACTCAGAGTCTGTCTGAAACTAAGTGTTCAAGGCTTGCCTGATACTTCGAGCCATATCATAAACCTCCTGGGCCACAGCAGGCCCACTGCTTGAAGAGCTCGCAGTGCTCTTCTGCAAGATGCTGTCAAGGCTTCGCACAGCGACATCCTTCAGTCCAGTGGCCCTGACGTAATCGATCACGCAGGACCCGTGCACCCATCCAGGAGGACGGTAGAGCGAGTGGTACCAGCTGAAGCGCACAGCGTTCTTAGGAATCGGGGTTTTGCAGCTTAGGCAAACTGATCGCCCAGAAGCCGCCAAGGCCCCGCTGTCCAACCCCAGCTCCTTTGAAAAAAAACTGGAAGTTCGGCCTGGCACCGGCTTGTTGGCACGAATGCTTTCTGCGACCGCCGCCTTCGCTGCATCCGCATTCTCGATCTCCTGTTGCAGGGCTGGTAACTTCTTTTCCTCTTCCCGAACATTGTCTGCAAGAACCACACGGTCACCATCTTCCAATGTCTCAGCTGGGTCCTCTGCCTCCGACGCAGAATCGGAGGCCTCCTCATCAGATGCATCCTGGGCTTGCTTCTTCTTATCTTGGCGTTTCCCAGCAGCTTTGGCCTTGGGCCCCGCTTTCTTCTGCCTGCGCTTGGCCTTCGGAAGTTTCACCCCAAATGGCAAAACAACTGGACCACGCTTTGCTCTCTGTGGAATCTTGTCGTCCAGCTTGAAGGAACACAAATGATCTTGAGGTTCAGCATAAAGCTCAACCGGTGCGCGAATCTTCGCTTGGAGGCTCCAGACCTCCACCTGGACGCAAGTGTTGCTTGCACCACCAGCCAAGTTGAGCAGCTGCAGCATCACCTGCCGGTCGGTTTCAACGATCGGAGCACCGTGACTCAACTCGAACTTTACCTCGGACTCTGTCACGGATACCTTCATCAGCATACGCAAGGCGGGCCTCTTGAGCGCGACACCCAAAACATACGCAAGGCAGTTGGGGAAAGCAGTGCTTGTGAAAGTCACCAAAGCACTTGATTTGATATTCCGGTGCTCAAGCTGCCGTCGCAGGCGAGTTCTCCATTCCTCCACAACCCCGAACAACGGGTGCTGCATGCAAAGCTCGGGACAACACTGAGCCTGACTTTGAGGTTCCTCCTCCTCCTCCAAGTCGCCGGCGTCCGCCTGTGGAACCGAAAGAGGCTTGTGCATCGTCTCTGTCAAGGAGCGAAAGATATCATCGTCACTCGATTTGATGTCTATCAAAGATGCCTTCAGCGCACCCAGGCCTAAGGATGTTTGAGGAATTCAGCACATGTTCAGGTTCACATGAAGTAATACTATAACTATAACATACATATTACATACAGGAAAAAGATAAAACGAAGAAATGGCTTGATGAATTACGAACCGAACCTTACTTCACCTTACCTCTGACAACATACCGTGATCATGAATCATACTAACCATACAACCTTCCGCTCACGATTGACCGCTCAGGTGCCGTCTCCCAGCTGTGTCGGGATCTCCCAAAGCTCATGCTTTTGAAATGCTTGTGTATTCAGTTCCAGCCGTCTGTACGATCTCTTCTTGCAAGCATTTTTCCAAGCACCCTCTGAAGCAGAAGCAGCCTCCCTGTCCTCGGCCTTGGCTGCGGTTGCAGCCGCCGAATCAAGTGGTGTCTTTTCCAAGTCATCCAAAAGGGCTTGCTGATGCGCGGCTTTGACAACAAAGGGCTCTTTCTGCCCTGCATCCATTTGTCGCCACTGAGCCGACAACTCCTTGAGCTTGGCATGGTATTCCTCGCCTTTCAAAGACCGTCCGGCCAGGCTTTCCCTCTGAAATACATTCCACGCACAAATGGTGCGAATCTTGCGAGCACCTGCTTTTGCCAGCCGGGCTCCCTGTTGCTGGGGATTCTCTTGGGTCGTCTTGGTGCGGCTTTTCCCATCCTCAGCTACTGTGCGATCGGACCCCAATCGACAGCAAATATACTGCAGATGAAATACTGAAAATATTTTGTAAATTATGTCTAGTAGTGATACGGTACTGATACATTATAATTACATACTAATACAGAACACATACTTACATACATACTGTTACGTACATATTTAAAATTATTTAAATATTATATATTACATGCTGTACTGCTGTTACATACTACCTACACCTACATTATTTACATTATCATATACTGCTGCATACTGTAACACATACTTTACTGATCACTGATCACTGATACGGATCCGGATACGGGTGACATAATGCAAGGTGGGAAACTTGGGTCTGCTGCATCTTGACCCCGGACATCTTCCGGATACCTGAAGCTGTAGCCTTTGCAGGCAGCGTGTCGGCACCAGCTGAAGACTGTGCCCACTGATTCTGGACCACCGCGGAATGTAGCAAGCTCAACTCCGCTGCTGTTCGTGTGTTGCGTACGTTTTGGCTTGCTCTCTTCGATACGCACCATTGGGTTTGCCCATTTTTCAGCTCCACAGCATCTGACGTTGAAGGCGAGAACGTGCTTACGTCATCGAGAATGGACACGATCTCTTGTTGATAAAGCTTTTGTTCTTCCGGCCCCTTTGCTTGCAAACCCGCAAACTTCTTCAAGAGAGGGAGCGTGAACTCATGGTCCACGCAGTTCTGGCAAGACACAGCTTCTGCCTCGAGTGCAGACCACGCCTCCACGAAGCCAGCTTGGTTCAGTTCGCACAACCCAAACAGTTTGAAGGGTGCACGGCTCAGCTCGTACTTGAATCTTCTGTGCAGGTCTGAGCACAACAAGACGATGGCATCGAAAATATTGTTCAGGCTACTGTCTGTCGCATCATAGCCCATCTCAACCAACTCGTGAAAACCTTGCTGCAGGATGACCGTGTACTCGCGCAACATGTGGTCACCCAACCGACCTGACATCGCCTTCAAGAACAGCGCACGGCTCTTGGAGCACAACTCCTCGTACTGCGGGTGGCCTTTCCCCATAAAGCTCAAATCATGCAGAACCTTTGTATGCGACAACAAAGTGTTGATCCCGTGTTCGAGAGGTTGGATCAAACAGTCAATCACGATTGCTGACTGATTGAAGGAAGGCCGGGAAATCTCGTGAATGACCATCCTTCGCCGTGCTCCATTTTGGGCTGCAAAATCTCTGTCAGACTCCAATGCACTGGCGAGAAGGTGCTGCCAGTAGCCCTCCTCTGCAGGAGCCACGCCACCAGGCCTACTTGAATCCTGTAAGAAAGCATCCACGTACTGAGCCAGCTCGCCCTCAGCAGCGCTTTGAACAGCATTGCTTTCCATCTCGCACAGGACACGGCGCAGTAAATCAAAGCACGACCCGGCGAGCTTCATGTAGGAAGATGCAGGCCCATAATGCTTCATGCGATAGAGAAGCGGCGTGGGGAATCCCTTGCTCAGAAGCGGTACTGCTTGTGCTAAGAATTTGCAAATCGATTCTTCCTGCGACGAACAGCAAGCTGGTCTTCCCTGCTGCGACAGCAAACAGTAGTGAACTATCACGTCTTTCGAGGAATCACCGTTAGCAAAATCCAGGAACGCGCGAGCAAGCTTCTGAGATCCAAGGGAAGTAGATTGAAAATCGCGCGCAATCCAATCAGCCCGTTTCTTCCAAACCGCCATCTCAGGCGGGAACTCTGCAACCGGGATACCTTTCTAGGGTGGGGCCGATTTAAGGGAGACCTGAGATAGAGACATGACTCGACATAATTACATAATCTGATTCGTCTCATACGATAGTGACACTGGTGCGGCGATGCGACTCAGGAACACTTCAGCACCTCTAATTTGCCTCTAATCTTCTTTCAATTGGTCAACAGTCAAAAGTAGTCTGCACTGTCCACCCTGATTTCATTGATCCAAGCGGCGAAGGAAGCTCCCGGGTCTTTGGACCAAGGCTATCAAAGCACCAGCAAAGTTTCTGCGAAAGGAGTTCAACTCGAATAGGTGCCCCAACCGGACTAACGTGGCCCAATACTGCTCTATGGACAATACCAATGGCCGCCTGATGAGACCGCACTGGTGATTCAGGCACTTGAAGCGAAGCCCCAGTGTACGATGAGCCTCATGCGCAGAATCCGTATCCTTGCGCCGTTGCAAAAGACTTTCCCTCTCCATCTTCCAGGCTGCATTGTTCGCCTTGAGTGCATCTCCCATTAATACAAGGGTTTGCCAGGCAGAGTTACTTGCAAGATTTGCAGGACATTGCAAACTCAATAGCCTGCCTCCCACACCTGTCCCAGTGATCAGCAGCCATGCCTTGAAGGCCTCATGAATACTTTTGGCCTTTCCAGAAGGGAGGACCTGCAAAGGTGTTGGCATGTGCATGCACTGGGTGGCCCCATCAGCATACCGCAAGATCAAGTTCTGCGATGTATTCATGACGGTATACACAACGCTCTGGTCGGAGCCAGACCGACCCTGGGCTTTCAGCTTCGTAGTTGTATCGTCTGATACGACAGTGTTCAGAACATGCGCCACTGGCAGGGCATCCTGGCCGGTGCTTCCACGAAAAAGCTTGATCACTGCATCTACCATGGCCTGCAAAAAACTCTTCACGCATCTAGATCGTTCTCTGCCCTGCTGCTGCCACTGATCCTTGTCCATGAATGTTGTTCCATATTTTGTTCGTATAAACGACCTGGTGAACTGCTCCCGCTGCAGTCGTGACTGGAAAGGCTCTACTGAAATCGAATCTTGGGTGGCTGCCACCGCAGCATCATTGCCTTTTGCGACCCGCGCAGCCGCCACGGCAATTCTGGCATTCTCAGTCTGCAGTCTGCGCCGCATGACACGCACATTGGCCTCATCATCATTCTGATTCTGTCTAGGCTCACGCTGCTGCTCATCTGCAGACTCAGCGTCGAGATCAATGGCAGGCGCAAGGCCGTCTGCCACTCTGTTTCTCCACAAACGTTGAAAAGGCATGGCCCATGGCACAGCAAACAATCACCGAGTCATGACATCAACACGGCTGGGGCCCAATTCGATCGCCTTGCATACCGAGCGGGCTCCCGCATCCCATTATTTTATTCCTGGATCTCTGGGGCCTGTCGGGGCCTCGGGGCTAGGGCCCAGGGCTGTAAGTTACTCGACGCTACAGACTCTATGTATTCCATGGTCCAAATTAGGTCCATATTATCCATATTCCTATTCCGAGCCTATTCTCATGATGATTGATGGTGACAATGACATTGATATTGTCAGTCAGTACTGGTACAATCTGATTCCATCTTGAGCTTCGCCGCTCCTAAGCTGATCAGGTTGCCGCGGGATACAATCAGTTGCACAGTGCAGTAGTCGCTGGCTGCACGCAAACACACAGGCCGGACCCTCGACTGCCTCGCCTGAGTAACTGAGTACTCGAAACCGAACTCCAAACCCAGTCTAGAGTCTCTGCAGAATCGAATCGAAATTTGTCAGCCGATCTGCCGTAGCTCCACCCTAGCCTTGTACTTCTTGTAGAAGTCTCCCTCGCTGTTGGCCGGGAAAGGATCCGAGATGCTTGAGACCTGCAGAGCCCAAGTCCCAAGACCCAGCGGCATGCCCAAAGAGATCGCTCAGGGTGTCCAAATCGCAAGATTTCAGAACCCCATCAGTCTGACAGCTACTTCAACCACAGCCCGCAACAACGAACACAGTCTTTGCCTGTAACCAATCTGAACTCGCTCACACTCGAAGCTAAAATCAGGCTAAAGTGAAGTGTGACACACTGACTGCACTGACTTCTACTTTCACTGTGCTGCATGCTGCTGCCTATGCTGGCAGTGCTCCCCTGGCCTCTTCGAGCACGCCCAGAAGCGGCAATCTTTCTCCTGGGTGTTTGGCTGCTTTGGCTTTGGCTTTGGTTACTTGTGCTCAGAGACTCAAGCAAACAACATGCCAGACAACTGGACCTTTTTCTGAGGGCTGTGGAACTAAAACCTAGAAGTCTCCAGCACTGGAAATCAGAAAGGATGAACATGCACAACCGTGGCTCGAAAGTGGCGTGCTGTGTTGAGAAAGGCCTCCCCATTCACAGCATCGAAGAAAGGATTGAAATTGCCTGCCCGCTTCCGGCCATTCAATCTAGAGAAAGGCTGGCACGGCGGCCCGCAGCAGTAGATGTCCTGTCAGGTGAAAGCACAACATCCCCAAACGATCGGTCTGACTTTAGGGTTTTAGGCTTTAGGCTTTAGGGTTTAGGCTGGGGTTTAGGGTGCCGCCTCCTGGGCGGGTCGGGGGAACCCTAAGCCCTAAATGGGCCCTAACTAAAACCCCAGGTGCCTGAGCCTACGGCCTAGACACGAAGCGCGGAGCCCTTTCAAAACGCTTCGCAGCAGCCTGTGCCTAGGCCTAAACAGGAAGCCCGGAGCCTTGAAACCGTAAACCCTGCCTCTGACTGTTGAACCTACCTAAACAAGCAGCAAGCAAGACCTTATTAAGCCCTACTTGGAGGTTCATGGGTAGTTATAAGTGGAGTTATAAGTTATAAGTTATAAGTTATAAGTTATAAGTCCCCTAGTATGGGTGATAATTACAGATACCCACTTATAACTCCACTTATAACTGCCCATGAACCTCCAAGTAACCCTAGGCCCCCAAACCCTGAGCCTATACTCAAAACTTGAACTAGCCCGTAGCCCTCAATCCTAAACCGTAACCCTAAATGGACCCTAAGCCGAAAAAACCCTGAAAGCGCCTAAGCCCAAAAACCCTGAAAGCCGCCTAACAGCCCAAGGCCTAACGGCCTAAGGGCCCAAAACTGATGTATGGCCGCATTATGCTGTTATGCTATGCTCCTCCACGGGTGCAGTGCTGGCGCACTCGTAGCTGTCGTGCTGCAAGCAGCGTCCATTGTTAATCATGTCGCCCACGTCCATGAAAATGTGCTGGACTTGGCTCCAGCAGACGGATTTCGTACACGGCACAACAAAGCCGCCCTTTAGAGTTCAAGCTTTATAGGTTCGGTTCGTGGCTTATAAACCCTACTAATACCCTACAGTCTACACCTAAACAGTTTGCCGCTTGCCCCCTAAACCCGAAACCCCACGCCTAAACTCTAAACCCTGCACCCCCAGACCCTAAACCCCTAGGCCGCCTAGGCCCTAAGCCTAAACCCCCCAGCCTATAGCCCCTAGCCTAAACCGCCCTAAACCCTGAAACCCTAAGCCCTAACCGCCTAACCCCCTAGCCACGTGCATGTTTGTGGTCCTGTGGCCTATGAGGCGCCTATGGGTCTGTGGTCCCGTCGCACAACCTATTCGGCTCACTCGAATCACTCCGCAGCGCAAACTCTACAATGATGTTAAGTTAAGGCTCCGTGATCTCCATAATTCCGAAGGATGAAATCCACCTTTGCCTCGTTGCTCTCTAAGCAGGCCAAGGTGTGCCAGGGCAGCTCCAGCTCGTATCCAATCTGTCGCCTTAGGGAAGAGGCCGGACCGTACCATACTTTTCACATGCAGAATGCAGCATACAGCACACGGTCACTGGTTACCTTAATTATTTAGTTAGTTAGGTCTATAAGTCATAGTGTCTTAGTGTAGCTCGTGGTGTGTGCCAGCGGCTGCTCAGACATGGATCACTGTGCTTCCAAGCAACAGGATATAAGTTCCCGTAGCCGCCCCAGCGCAGCCTTCGACCAGCTTGATCCTTGGTCAGTTGAGAGGCTGGAGCGTGGGGCCCAGTTTGTGATTAACAGTAGTTGTAGGTAGGCAGGGCTGGAGGACAGGGCGATAAAGGCGGTAGGGGCCAGGGGTATTTATCTGCACACTCTACCTACCGTTATGTGTCGGTGTAGGGTTTCATTCATGAAATACTAATTTTATGGCTTTGGCCCTGGCTTTGGCTTCGACTTCGGAGCAATCCCAGGATCTGTTGCATACGCAGCGCTTGGGGAACTCGCAGGGCCGCCGCAAACCTCTTGACCCAGTCAAAGCAGCTTGGGGTTGGCACCTCCGCCACATCCTTCTGCGACCTGGGAAGCTGATTGTGGCTTTTAGGGAAATGTGCTGACTTCGGGCTTGGGGCTTTGGCTTCGGGTTTAGTCTAGTCTTTATGTCCCGAAAGTGTCCAAGCTGCTCGGAACCACTGGAGGGGTCCATCTGCACAGCCGCACAACTGCTCACCGCAAAACGACCTTCAAAGCTTTGCAAAGCTAGGCAAAGCCAGGCACATATCTCACAGCAGAAAATGGCAGCAGTGGTTTGGACAACACAGTTGGCGTCTGCATGTGCATGCGCAAGCTCTCGGTGCAAGAGCGCGGAAAACCCTAGCAGCATGAATGGGGATCAACTGCCACATGTAAAGTAAAAGTGAGTATGCAAAGCCGAGTACGTGCATGCATGCATGTGGCATGGGGCTGTTTCAGAGCGGAACGCGTCGTGGTGGCGGGGGAGGCGGAGGCCGTTTCGCGGGCTGTGGCTCTGCCGACTTTGCAGCGTGACTCCCATCATGCACATCGTCTTTCGAAGGCGCCCGGGGTGGAACGGCCAAACCGAGCGCCTCCAATTGCTGTATGCAGTGCAGCAGCGGCACCCTTGGTGGAATTGCCAAACCCAGCGCTTCGAAGCGGCGTATGTAGTGCGGTTGTGGAACTCCAAGCGCCTGCAGCTCCAACTTGTCCCGTTCAGAGCAGGGTTTCAGCAGCGGGGGTGGTGTCGGCAGTGGCAGTGGCTGCTTTCTCGCACAGCCTGGCCGGCGCTTGCGGATGCGCCGGCGGACCTTGATCCGCACTCTGATAAGCCTCCGCCTTCTCATTGCACTATCTAAAGCTTGTAAAGCTTGGGCCGCTTCGACAGCGGATGTGACCGGCAGACATCCGCAGCTGTGCCGTGCAGACACGATATACAGGAATACAGTAAGAATACAAGAAAGCCTGGAAGTATTTATATATAGTTCCTAGCAGGAACAGACAGGTTTATATATAGTTCCT